GTGCCCATGAGTGACGTCCACGACGGGCCCCGCTGCAGATAGTGAGCGCGGGGCTTCCCCGCCCTGGCTCCCGTTGCCTCGTCCGAGCTGGGGGTGGCGGGAGGGCGACGAACGTGACGCGGAAGCTGCCCTCGTAGGGAGAGGGGGACGGGGACGGGGCAGCTGCGGTGCTGGGAGGCATCCAGGGCAGATGCAACTGCCCCCAGGCTCAGCAGATCCCCCGAGCGGCCCGTGCTCGCCTGCTGAGGCCCCTCCGTCCCTTGGTCCCCAGCAACCCTTACGGGTCGCGGCCGAACCGGCGAGGCGATGATTGGCACGATAGGGGCCGGGGCGGCGCCAGCAACATCCATGTCGCGGCGAGGCGCGACCAGCCCATCCCGGATCGGGGCGGCAATGCCGGGCGTGATGGCACCCGGAAGAACTGGTTCAAGATCACGGTGAGCGATCGTGGGGGCGGGGGCAAGGTCGCCCCACCAGCCTGGGCACGCCCTGGCCGGGAGCTCCCAGTCGGTTGCGGGGCAGCCCAGGTCCCTCTGCCGGCTCTGACGCTCGCCAGCGGGCGACTTTCCTTGGCAGATCCCGTACGGGAGGAAGTACGACCGGTCGTGGCTGCTGACCGCTATCCAGAACGTGTGCACCGTCCCTTTCAACCCCGTGGAGGTGAGTGCCAGCCTGGGCCAGCTCGGAGCCCGCAGGCAGAGAGGCTTGGGAGCCGGATGCTTGGCCTGTCTCCCAGCATCAGGGGGAGAGCAGGGTCTCGGGAGGGGTCAGAGCAGAGTGGGACCGGGGGGGCCTGCTCTCTCTACCTGGTTGTGGCAGGGGGCTCAGAGCAGCGCGTTTAGGAGCCGGGATGACTGACTTCTCTCCCAGCTCTCGGGCGGGTGCCTGCTGGAGTCCTGGGTCACTGTCTCAGGCCAGACAGTTGGGGGTTTTTTTTCCAGGCTTCGAACTTCCTAGACGCTGCCCTTGTTGCGGGGAGGAAGGGCCTGGGGGGTTCTCCTTGCTCCGATCTTGGGAGGGCGGCGCTCAGGTCTCCCTGACCGCCTTGCTTCTCTCCCCTTCTCAGTTCCATTACGACCACAACCGGGCTCAGTTCTACGTAGAAGACGCCACTGCGGCCAGCGCTCTCAAACTGGTGTCCCGCAAGATCACGGACAGAGAGAACTACAAGGTGCGGGGTCAGGTCCCTCAGCTGGGCCTCGTCATTGCCTTCCGAGGGGGGAGGGAGGCTCCTGTGCTGCTCTGGGGGTCTCTCTCCCAGCTGGAGCAGCCTTGGAGTGCTGCTGAGACCCCTGCCGACCTGCTTTGCCCACGCTCCAGGTGGTGATAATCATCAACTCGTCGGCCCCGCCCCAGTCTGTCCAGAACGAGTTGAAGCCAGAGGAGATTGAACATCTGAAGGTGAGGTCCTAGGGCTCGGTGCCTGGCGTTTGGGGGTGACTTCCAGCCATTAATCAGTGCCAGGCAGAGAAGGGCAACTGTACCCCCCCCCAGCCCCCACCCTCTGATCTGCATCTTCTGCTATTTCAGCTTTGCATGAGCAAGAGGTATGACCGTCTCCAGCAGGCCCTGGACCTCAAGGACCTCCGCACAGACTCTGGTGCGTGTCCAGATAGGGTGGGGGGAGGGAGGGAGGGGAAGGGCGGGGATGGCGGCTGGACAGGGGCTCAGCCTTTGTCTCCCTTTTGCCTTAGACCTGGTGGCGCAGAACGTCGACATGGTGCTGAAACGGTGCAGCTGCATGCAGGCTGTGCTGCGCATCATTGAGGAGAACATCATCCCTGAGGTGAGAAGGAGCTGGTGAAGGGTGCGAGCCCTGCCCCGTGTCCTCTCGCAGCACCCCTGATGCCCATCTCGGCCCCTGCAGCTCCTGTCCCTGAACCTGAGTGGCAACAAGCTGTACCGGCTGGACGACCTGGCCGAGCTGGCGCAGAAAGCCACCAACATCAAGATCCTCAATCTCTCCCGCAACGAGGTAGGCAGAGCGCCCCCCGTCTGCCCTCCCGACCCTTGCCCCCACCTACATTCACGCTGCCCCTCTCCACAGCTGAAGTCGGAGCGGGAGCTGGATAAGGTGAAGGGGCTCAAGCTGGAGGAGCTGTGGCTGGACGGGAACCCGCTGTGCGACTGCTTCCGGGACCAGTCCACTTACATCAGGTCAGTGCCAGCCCCGGCAAGGCCCCCGGGTCTCCCCCGCCCACGCCATGCCTGGCGGGGGACAGCATGGCGGGACCATGAAGGCACCCCTCGCCCACCCCAGACAGGAACCGGAACCAGCCCCCTCGACACCTGTGGGGCCAAGCTCTAACCTGGCCTTCGGCCTCCTTGACGCACGCAGGCATCTTCTGGGCATGGTCACGGGTGTTGGCTCTGAGCGCTGCCGTGCGCTTGATTCGTGTGGTTTGTGTTTCAGCCGGTGCCAATCCCCATCCTCTCCTCTCCCTTTGTTCCCTGCCCTCGAGAGCATAAGAATTGCCACTTGCTGGGTCAGACGCTGAGTCTGTTTTGCCCAGTCTGCAGTATCGCAGGACACTTGAAGCAGCCCTTAAGGCAGCTGCTGCCCTCTGTCTCCTCCTCACCGCTTTTCTGCTCCCCTGCCTGCCCTTCCACCTCTTCTCCTCCCTCCTGGGGGCTCCGGGACCCCTGGGCCGCACAGCCTCTTCCCCCCAGCATCTGCGCTCCCGCCGTGGGGCTGCCGCCCCCTGCTGCCGCACAAAGGAAGCTCCCGTTGTCTCTGCCTCTCCCCCTGCCCCCAAGTGGGGTTTAAAGGGCCGAATACTATGCCTTGGCCCCAGTGCTGCCGTGCCCACAGCCCCCCGCTGGCCCCGCGCCCCCACCCTGCGTTTGGCCCTCGATGATGGCTGGCTAGCCAGAGACGGGTAAGATTCCTCGCGGGAGGAACAACCTAAGACAGGCACAGCCGTGCAGTGGCCAAACCAAAGCATGCGGGGGGGTGGCCGAGGGGCCCAGGCCCAGGCTGCCGGGCTCACCTACGCTCACTGCGCCTGCCTGCGGTAGCATCCCCAGGCATGGCTGGCCGGCGCCGGCGCCAGCTCGAACAGGAACAGACGGCCTTGGCTTCTGAGCAGGCCGCAGCCAGCAGCCCCTGCACTCCTGGAACCAGAGAGGCGGCTGGAGCGGGAGCCCTGCTGGGAGCAAAGAGGCTCTGCGCCCCCCTGCCCCGGGCTCCCGGCCCCCTCTTCACCCCCCTTCCTCCCCCCATGCCCATCTGCTCTGCTCTGCTCCGGGCTCTGTCCCCGCCCCTCCCCCCTTCCCTCCCCCCCTCCCTCCTCTCCTTCCTGGGGACGCGCCACGCAGGTGAGTAAGAGCCAGGTAAGTGCTGAGCCCATTGGCCGAGCAGCATTGGCACCACCCAGGCCCCTGGGCCTTGCCGGGGGCGGCTTAGGCCAAGACACCAAGATCCTAGGATCCAGCAGGGTAGGGTCTGGGGAGGGGGAGAGAGCGGGCGCAGCTGGGCGGGGAGACCCGGGGCCCCTGGGGAGGGTGAGCTGGGCTGGCTTGGCTGTGTCCTGGCCCTGGGGAGGTGACGGGGCGAGGCGGGGGGCAGCGGGATGTTCCCGTGGGGGCCTGGCTGAGCCCCGGCCCTGGCGGGCAGGGGGGCTGCCTCACTGACTTCTGTCTCGTTGCCAACAGCGCTGTCCGGGAGCGGTTCCCCAAGCTGCTGCGCCTGGTGAGTGAGCCACATCACGCCGTGGGGCTGAAGCTGCCCTGCTGGGGCCCGTCCTCAGCCTGTCACTCACTGCTCCCCCCTCTCTCTCCCCAGGACGGGCACGAGCTGCCCCCTCCCATCGCCTTCGATGTGGAAGCCCCCACTACCCTCCCCCCCTGCAAGGTGAGCAGGGCACTGTGGGGGGCTGCGCTGAGCTCTGGGGTCTCTGGGCTTGGTGGGTCCCTGTGGGTGGGCCAGGGCCTACTTGTGCACATCACCTCAGGTCGTCCAGCTGCTCTCAGCCTTTCTGCAGCTCTCTGTACTCTTTGCAGAGGATGCACTTGGGGGCTGGGGACGGGTAGCTGGGAGTGGAGCCCTGAGGATCTCTGAGCTGGTGGGGGGTGGCTTGGGGCAGAGCCCTGGGGGTCCTGGGGCTGTTGATGGACTGGGAGCGGATCCCAGGGACCTCAGGGCTGTGGTGGGGGGTGGGACCAGAGCTCCAGGATTCAGAGGCAGCCTGTATCCATACAGGGAAGCTACTTTGGCTCTGACAACGTGAAGGTGCTGGCCCTTCGCTTCCTGCAGCTGTAAGTACCCAGGCGAGGGTGGGGGGCAAGGGCTGTGAGCAGGGGAGAGGAGGAGGGTTCAGGTTGGTCCTGATGTCCTGCCCCTGCAGGTACTACTCCATTTACGACTCTGGCGACAGGCAAGGGCTGCTGGACGCCTACCACGACGGCGCCTGCTGCTCCCTCAGCATCCCCTTCTTCCCGCAGAACCCCTCCAGGTGCGACCAGGGCCCCGGGCGGGGGGGCAGGGGGTGTTGTTAAAGCCCAGGCAGGCGGGTTCTCCTTGCTCTAGGGAAGTGGAGGCTGGGGGATGTGGACTCCTGGGTTCTCTAAAGTTGCGAGATGGGGTCTAAAAGGTCAGAATATGGGGTAGTGGGAGCTTTGACACCTGGGATCTGAGGTGGGGCCTCATCCTGCACTTCCTGGGGTGGGGGACTCCTGCAGGGGTTCCCTGCTGGAGGCCGCAGTGGGTCTCACAGGCCTCTCTCCCGGCAGGAGCACCCTGAGTGAGTACTTCAAGGACAGCCGCAATGTGAAGAAGCTCAAGGATCCCAGTAAGGGCCTGCCAAGCTGAGAGGGAGGTGCGGGGAAGGGAGATTTCACACCCCAGGCAGCTCCTGCTCCCTGGGCTACCTGTGGGGGCAGGCTCTCACCCCCTTCCTCCCCACAGCCATGCGCTTCAAGCTGCTCAAGCACACGCGCCTCAACGTGGTGGCTTTCCTCAACGAGCTGCCCAAGACCCAGCATGACATCAACTCCTTTGTGGTGGACGTCTGCGCCCAGACGGTGAGTGTCCCCGTGCTGGGGGGGCAGTCTCCACCCTGGGGCTGTACAGAGGGCGGACAGGGGCCGTCTCCTCTCCAGGCCTGCACAGGGGCAGCGGGGTGGGGGACACCGCGTGCCCTGCGGGTGCGGTGCTGTGGGGGGGTGGGAGCTCTCGGGGTGGCGGGGATGCAGCAGCTGCGTGCTCACTGTCCTCTCCTGCCTCCTAGAACACGCTGCTGTGCTTTGCTGTGCACGGGATCTTCAAGGAGGGTGAGTGTGTCCTCCCTGCCCCCTCCCCATGGGGATCCCCTCCCCAGCCTCCTTGCCTTGCTCCCCCCCACTCATTGGATCTCCTCCTCTCTTCCCCATCTCAGTTGACGGCAAGTCCCGGGACTCGGTACGAGCCTTCACCCGCGTGTTCGTTGTTGTACCAGCCGGCAACTCGGGGTGAGTTTGGAGGGGGGGTGGCACTGCTGTCCTTGCCCCATGGGGTCTGGGGGACAAGCTCAGGCCTAGGGACATTGTCCTGAGCAGAGGGACCTGGTGGAGCACTGCTGTTCCTGCTCCACAGGGTCACGGTGGTGTGGAGGGGGAGATGGGTGTCCCCAGCCCCAAGTCTCACCTTGGCCCCCCCTTCCCCCCGCAGGCTGTGCATCGTGAATGACCAGTTGTTCGTGCGCAACGCCACGACGGAGGAGATCCGGAAGGCTTTCGTCATGCCGGCGCCTACGCCCTCGTCCAGCCCCGTGCCCACGCTCTCAGCCGAGCAGCAGGAGATGCTGCAGGCCTTCTCCATGCAGTCTGGCATGAATCTTGAGTGGTCACAGAAGTAAGTGCCGCACTCCAGCTCTCCCCTCCCCCCCACCCAGCAGGGCTGCTCTCCCCTCCGCCCGCTCACACTCTCCTGCCCTCAGGTGCCTCCAGGACAACGACTGGGACTACAGCAGGGCAGCACAGGTCTTCACCCAGCTCAAGGTGACCCAGGGACCCCCAGTGGGCGTGGGCTGGGGGGGGAGGAGGGTGAGGGGAACCCCAAGGGGTGGCTGGGAGGGGACCCCCAGGGTCACCTCTGCTCTCAGCCAGTAGCCCCAGGGTTGGGTCAGGGGGTGAGGAGCTGAAATGTGGGGTGGGATTGGCTCTGCCCCAGGTGGAAGCCAGGCCGGGGAGGCCTGGACAGCTGAGTTCTGCCCTAGCTGCTCAGAGAGCGTTGGGTTATGGGAGACGAGGGGCTGGGAGAGAGTCGGGGTGCTGGGAGCTGTGCCGCGCAGGGGAGTTGGGGCGTTTGAGCGCAGCGGGGGGGGGTGGGGGGGGGGGCGGTGCGATGGGGAGGTCTGATGGGACAG